AGGTGGGTTTGAAGCGCTGAATTCCCAACTTTAAGGTGAATGTCCAAGAGGCACAATGGGAACTGTTCTGTGGCACAGAGCAGGGGGACTCTTAGAGGAACCGTGTGTATTCAGTTAGTCTCATTGTCCAGAGATAGAGACATGGCTGGTTAACCTGCCAAAAAGGAGCCCTTCGTTTTTGTCTTGGGATTTCCAAGCCCTGTTGTTGTTACTAGGACAGCACGTCAATCTTTGAGCAGGACGGGTGATTACTGGGGTCCTTCTGCAACTGAGAGCACTAGAGCGTCCCACTGGTCAAAGCAGAGCAGACCTCGCCTCTCAAACTTGGCTGTCCAGAGCTCTGCAAGGACCAGTACTTCATCTGCTGACTGCAGAGGGTGGGAGTGTCATGAAACTTCGCAGCTCATTAAGAACATAGGAGGCAACCAAAGCCTGCAGTGGCTGAGGATTCTTCAGTCAGGTTTATTGAGATTACGTTTCCTGTGGTAAAAGTCACTTTTTAAATTTTTTTTGAGACAGGGTCTTGCTCTGCCACCCATGCTGGAGTGCAGGGGTCTGATCATAGCTCACTGCAGCCTTGAACTCCTGGGCTCAAGTGATCCTCCCACTTTGGCCTCCTTAGCAGCTAAAACTACAGGCATGCACCACTATGCCTGGCTTTAATACATACATATGGTAGAGACAGGGTCTCACTGTGTTGCCCAGGCTGGTCTCAAAGTCCTGGGTTCAAACTCAAGAAGTCCTCCCACCTTGGCCTCCTAAAGTGTTGGACTTGCAGGCATGAGCTGCTGTGTCCAGCAAAAATCACTTTTTTCTTTTTTCTTTTTTTTTTGAGACGGAGTCTCGCTCTGTCACCCAGGCTGGAGTGCAGTGGCGTGATTTCGGGTTCAACCAATTCTTCTATCTCAGCCTCCCAAATAGCTGGGACTACAGGCGGGCCACCACGCCCAGCTAATTTTTTTATTTTTAGTAGAGACAGGATTTCACCATGTTGATCAGGCTGCTCTCGAACTCCTGACCTCAGGTGATCCACCCACCTCGGCCTCCCAAAGTGCTGGGATTACAGGTGTGAGCCACTGCGCCAGGCTGCCAATTCACTTTTAAAAATATAAAGTAAAATTCATCACAGTTAATATAGAGACCACTCCAATATCCAAAACAAAAAAGTTCCTGCATCTGCCTCTTTGTAGTTAATTTCCTTTCCACCTCCAGCCCCTTTTAACCACTGGTGTTTTCTGTCCCCATAGTTTTGTGTTTTGCAGGACATTTAGAAATGGAACCACACAGTGTGTACCCTTTTGTGTTGGACATCTTTGTTTTACCAGAATGCTTTCGCGGTTCGTGAATGCTGCTGCTTGTGCCAATAGTTCATTCCTTTTTACTGCTGAAAAGTATTCCACTGTGTGGATGCCTCAGATTATATCCATTCACACATTGAACAACATTTGGGTCGTTTCCAGTTCTGAGCTATTATAAATAAGGTGGTTATTAACCTTCATGTATGGATATGGTTTTTTCTTTTTCTTTTTCCCCCTGCTCTGTTGCCCAGGCTGGAGTGCAGTGGCACGATCTTGGCTCACTGCAACCTCCGCCTCCTAGGTTCAAGTGATTCTCGTGCCCCAGCCTCCCAAGTAGCTGGGACTACAGGCATGTGCCACCACACTCGGCTAATTTTTGTATTTTTAATAGAGACGGGATTCCTCTGTGTTGGCCAGGCTGGTCTCGAACTCCTGATCTCAAGTGATCTGCCCTCCTCGGCCTCCCAAAGTGCTGGGATACAGGCGTGAGCCACTGTGCCCGGCCTGGATGTTTTCATTTCACCGAAAAATAGGATTCCTGGGTCCTAGGAGAGTTCCAGTTTATGTTCTTTCCTCACTAACACTTGATATCATTGGTTTTAGTTTTCTAAAATTTTAGCAACTCTGGTAGGTATGTGATATGGTTAGGCTTTGTGTCCCCACCCAAATCTCATCTTGAATTGTAATCCTCATAATCCGCATGTGTCAAGGGAGAGGTCAGGTGGAGGCAATTGAATCCTGGGGGCCGTTTCCCCCATGTTGTTCTCGTGATAGTGAGTGAGTTCTCACGCGATCTGATGGTTTTATAAGGGGCTTGTCCCCCTTCACTCGGCACTTCAAGAAAATTGGCTGTTAGTCAATTAAATCTCTTTCCTATATGAATTACCCAATCTCGGGCAGTTCTTTATAGCAGTATGAAAGCAGAATAATACAGTATGGAATTATTTCAAGTTTTGAAATGAAACAGTTTCCTTAGGAGAAACACTCATCACATTCACAGCACACAAAAGAATGTCTATGTAGTGTGTCTGTTTATTTGCTTACATTTTCTTTTTCCATCACTGTTATTAGAATCAAATTTTAAAGGAAGCATCTGTGGCAGCATCAATAAATACATACGAATGTATGAATGAAGGAGGGAAGAAACGGGTAGCATGTACCCGGCTAGGGTGTCAGATCAGCCCAGGGTTGGATCCTAAGGCCCAAGTTATTAACTTCTGCCATGTACTTTTTTTTTTTTAAGAGAAGGAGGGTCTTGCTCTCTTGCCCAGGCTGGAGTGCAGTGATGCAACCATGCTCACACGTAGCCTTGAATTCCTGGGCTGAAGTGATCTTCCCAATTCAATCTCCTGAGTAGCTGGGACTACAGGCATGTGCCACCATACCTGGCTAATTTTTTATTTTTGTAGAAATGGGGGTCTTACTATATTGTTCAGGCTGGTCTTGAACTCCTGGCCTCGAGCGATCCTCCCATCTTGGCCTCTCAAAGTGTTGGGGCTACAGGTGTGAGACACTGTACCTGGCCTGCAATACACAACAGAGAAAGCAACTTTTACAGAAAGAGTTCTCTTGAACTAAAACCGATTCTGTGAAGAAAGAGTCTCTTGAAGAAGAAAGAGAAATGCAGAGCCAAAGGCTTACGAAGGCCTAAGGCCTGTTTGGGAGTGGGGGTGCGTCCTGAGTGCTGAGAATGTACATAGTACGTGCACATGTGGGTGGGTGGGTAGGAGGAGGGGGCTTAGCTGGAGATCACCTTGGACAAGTAGTCATAACAATCATGCAAAAGCTTATGCTGCTTGCTATGTTCCAGGTGGTTCTAAGATCTCTAGACAGGTTCATTCATTTATGCTTCCCAACAGTCTTATAAGCAGAGCACTAGCACCATCAGCATTTTACAGATAGGGAAACTGAAGCACAAAAAGATCAGATTAGCCGGGCATGGTGATGTGCACCTGTAGTCCCAGCAATTTGGGAGGCTGAGGCAGGAGGATCATTTGAGACCAGGAGTTTGAACCAGCCTGGGCAACATAACAAGAAGCCCTCTCTACAAAAAAAATTTTAAAAATTCGCTGGGCAGGCCTGGCACAGTAGCTTGTACCTGTAATCGCAGCACTTTGGGAGGCCAAGGGAGGTGGATCACCTGAAGTCAGGAGTTCAAGATCGACCTGGCCACCATGGTGAAACCCTGTCTCTATTAAAAATACACACAATTAGCCGGGCGTGGGGGTGCACACCTGTAGTCCCAGTTACTCAGGACGTTGAGACAGGAGAATCGCTTAAACCCAGGAGGCAGAGGTTGCAGTGAGGAACAACTGTTATTAGAATCAAATTTTAAAGGAAGCATCTGTGGCAGCATCAATAAATACATATGAATGTATGAATGGTATGAAACCCAGGAGCTGAGATTGTGCCACTGCACTCCAGCCCGGGTGAAAAGAGCAAAACTCCATGTCCAAAAAAAAAAAAAAAAAAAAAAAAAAAAATTGGCATAGTTGCATGTACCTGTTGTCCCAGCTACTCAGGAAGCTGAGGCAGGAGAATCACTTGAGCCGATGAAGTCGAGGCTCCAGTGAGCTATAATCGTGCCACTCCACTTCAGCCTGGGTGACAGAGCAAAACCCTATCTCTTAAAAAACAAAAGAAAATAAATAACCGTTAAATAACTTGCTCAAAGTCACACAGCTTAGAGCCCAGGAAGTTTATCCAAGTCGACCTTTTACCGCTGCCCTGCACTGCTGGGCTATGAAGGACGTATTTATTGATCAGGAAATGATGTAAGCTTCTGTGAGATATAGCTCCCCAAATATAGTGACTTCAACAAGGCAGAAATTAGGTTTTTCTCTCAGGGGTCAGCCCAAAGGGATAAAATTCAAGGCTAGTAGGGTGGTTTTGTCCTTTCCACATGTGGCTGTAAGTTTGGGTCCAGGGTGGTCACTTCCAGTTCCCACCATCTTTGAACCAGTGGGAAGAGGGAAAGGTGCAAGGAAGTATGCATTTCCATTTGAAAGGAATGGCCCTGGAGCACACACATCCCATTGGCTGCAACTCAGCACCATGGCCGCCCCAAGCTGCAAGAGATGCTGGGAAATGTGGCCTCTATCTGGATAGCCATGCTCTCTGCTAAAACTCGAGGGTTCGACTATTAAAGGGAAGAATGGATATTGGTGGGAAACCAGCAGTCTCTGCCACAACTTACGGACTGTCCATTGGGCTTTGAACTTTATTCCATCAGTGATGAGGAGCTGACAGTGGTCTCTAAGCAGGGAGGTTTCACGTCCAGACTTGGGTTTTTGATCACTGCAGAAGCATGCTTGGAGAATAAAAGTGGTGAGAAAGAAAAGTCAGGAGCCCTGTTTAGATGATGTGTCTGTCGCTTTGTTTTCCCATCTCTGGAGTCCCTGCTACAGGCAGGAGTCTGTAGATTGGGTTCCTAGGCAGGCCCAGAAGGAGGTTTGCAGGCGGGGTGTGTGTGCATGGGGCTGCAAAGGGAGCAGTCAGCTGTCTTTGTCCTTCATTCCTTCCACAACTATTTATCCAGCGCCATGTCTGGGCACAGGGCTCCAGCAATGGTCTCAACAGGTACAACGACCTCTGGGGACCAAGTTCAGTCCCTGTTGAGTTCTCCAGTGCCTCTCGATGTAGGGTGAACCCTTGGCATGGTCCGCTGACGCTGGCTCCTTCTGTTGTTTCTCTTGGCTCCAGGATCCCCGGAGCAAACACAAGTTTAAGATCCACACGTACTCCAGTCCCACGTTTTGTGACCACTGTGGGTCACTGCTGTATGGACTCATCCACCAGGGGATGAAATGTGACAGTAAGTACTTTTTCTCTCTGGGGGCATCTGCTGATGGCAGAAGCAATGGGAAAGGGCTGCTTCCTCTTGGTTTGGGGTCCAGGTGTGCCATACATTCCCTCCGTCCTGGTTGGGGCTGGTGTACCGATTGTCTGTTGCTGCATAATGATCCTCCTACCCCAAAACACTGTGGCTGAAGACAATTAACATTTTTTTAGCTCATGACTCTGCATGGCAGTCCTTTGAATCTGGGCTGGCCTCAGACAATGTCATGCATGTCCATAAAGCATGAACTCATGCTTCATGGTGGATTAGCAGGCGGGGGTGGGCTGGGAGCTGTCTGGGCCTCGGTGGCCTCACTCACATGTCCGGCAGGATGGCTGGCTGTCATCTGGGTGGTGGAGATGACCAGGCTACGTGTCTTTCCTCCTCAGTAGGCTAGGCTGGATTTGCATGCATGGAGGTCACAGGGTCCTGAGTTCCTCAGGAGGGCAAGCCCCATTGGCAGACACACTTCAAGTCTCTACTTGTGTCTGTTTGTTCCTGATCCACTGGTCAAAGCAAGTGGCATGTGAGATGCACAGTCACAGTGTGGGAAGGGACAATCCATGGCTGTTGACACCTGGAGGCATGAACAAATCATGGGCATTTCTGCAGCCGTGCAGCACCACTGTTCTCAGCACTGAGATGTGGGGCTGATGCATTCTTTGCATGGAGAAGACCTGTGGCCCTGCAGCACCCACAAGTTTGTGCTGGAGGAGGAAAGAGAGAGTCATTCTCTGGCCAGGATGTGGTAGGAAAGGCAGATGGGGTAGGACTCCTCTTTATGAGGCCAAGGCCCAGATGGCCTATGGGGCAGGGGAGCAGACAGGCTTTGAGAGCTATGGCCACAAAGCTACAGGGAGGCTGGAGGTGCTAGTGGCTCCCACAGGCCTGTTGGTCTGCAGCAGGCTGGGCAGTCATGAGGCTGGTGCTACCCCTATCACAAGGGTCCTGAGGCTCAGAGGACAGAGGGAGAAAATCACAGGGCAGAGAGTGACAGAAAGGAGTGTGAGGGTGAATAAGGGTGGTAGAGGGCAAGAGAGACAATAAGAAACACACACGCATAGACAGAGACAGATGCAGGGGAAAGATGGACACATGCAACCCTAACACAGGGAGGAATGTGGGGTGTGGAAGCTGCAGAGAAACTCAGCTAGAGATTCAGGCAAAAGGAGGGACAGGCAGACACACAGACCAACAGATAAGCCAGGTGCGGTGGTTCACTCCTGTAATCCTAACACTTTGGGAGGCTGAGGCGGGTGGATCACCTGAGGTCAGGAGTTCGAGACCAGCTTGGCCAACATGGCAAAACCCCATCTCTACTAAAAATACAAAAATTAGCTGGGAGAGATGGTGGGTGCCTGTAGTCCCAGCTACTCGGGAGGCTGAGGCAGAAGAATCACTTGAACCTGGGAAGCGGAAGTTGCAGAGAGCCGAGATCACGCCACTGCACTCCAGCCTGGGTGACAGAGCTAGACTCTCAAAGAAGAAGAAAAAAAGATAAAATGATTGGCATGGACACAGATAGAGATGCCATCACACAAGGCTCATGCAGAGGTGTAGAGGTGTAGAGATGGAGAGACCAGAGACAGAGACAGAAGCACACATGGAGAGCCACAGAGGAGAGAGAGAGAGGCAGAGAGACACAGCCGGAGAAGGGGAGAGACAAAGAGGCCGGAGGCAAGTGCAGAGAGTGGAACAGACCGATTCACAAATGTGGCCAAGGCAGTGAGACACGTGCAGAAGTGGGACAGCAGAGACAAGAGACATGCAGCAATGTGGGAACAGTGAGACAGACACAGAAACATGGTGAGAGCCGCAGGGGGACAGTGAAGCTGGAGCCTTCTGCCTGCAGGACACCAGCTCCTCTTACCACATATGGGGCCCTAATGTAGGGGCAATGCCCCTGCCTCAAAGACAGTGGTGGGCGGGAGCTCAGCCTGGTGCTCGGGTCCCAGAGGGCTCTCCCTTCCCTCCCCACAACTCATTTCCAGTTTTTGTAATAGGCCTGCCTCCTCCTGGGAATTGGGTGGTCTGAGAAGGGTCCCTTGCCCCCAGATACCTTGAAATTGGGGCCCATGGGGTGACTTGGCCTCTCCTGCCTTCTCCAGCTGGAACTAGTGTCCCCCTGGAGAATCCTGGGTTCCTGGCACACCTTCCTGGAGCGGGGCATTGTTGCTCAGGACCTAGGGGAAATCACCCACCACGTTGAAATAGACAGATACTCTACGGAGGAGTGCACAGAGGGAGTGGATATCCTATAACACGAGAGACGGCCGCAGGCCAAATTCAGCTTACAGGCACATTTCATCCACCCTGCCCTTGCTCTAAATCTTTTTCCTTGTAATTAGTTGTGGTGGACACTATGGTCAGCCCAGACCCCTTCTTCAGGGTCCCACCCCATCCCCTAGCTGTGGGTTCACAGTGGTGCCCCATCCTGCGTAATTGCCCAAGGTAATGCCCCCTCCAGGGCGACTGGATGATTGCAGTGCCCAGCCCTCTTGTCTCAGTTTGGAACAGCTTCGAAGGATCATCTCAGCTCTGGGCTCCCCTTCACATCAGCTTTGGTTGCATCCACATGGCAAGCCAACTTCTCTTCCCAAGAGCACTCCCTAAAAACCTTGTGCCCTAAACTCCCCATCTCAGACTCTTTCCAGGGAACTCAGCCTATTAGCTGTCAATATTTTAAAATCAGAGCTGTCGCATACACAGCAAGATTCCTGCATATGCTGAGAAATAGGAAATGTTGCTGCCCTGTTCCCCACTTGGCCAAATTACCACCATCCCCTTAGCTTTCCTCACTCATGTGGCCAGCCAGCCTGTGAGCACTGAAGTTGGTGACTCTGGCTTCAGAGCCTTCAGGGGTGTGGGGTGTGTTTGCTTCAGGCTGCACCCTTGGGCTTGGGTGGGGAACAGACAAGTACCTCCTTTACCCATCAGAGTTCAGGGGGAAGAGTTGGAGAAGCCCTGATGAGATCTTGGCAGGCAAGTTGGTCTCAACCAGGCTGGTGATTTCTCAGCTGCCTCAAAGGAGGGGAACAGGAAGGACTCAGCGGTCCTGGGTGGGGCAGATGTCTGCAGCCCCCAGCCTGGGCCAGCCTAAGCAGCATCCCCTCTCTCTGCCCTCACAGCCTGCATGATGAACGTGCACAAGCGCTGCGTGATGAACGTCCCCAGCCTCTGTGGCACGGACCACACGGAGCGCCGCGGCCGCATCTACATCCAGGCCCATATCGACAGGGATGTCCTCATCGTCCTCGGTAGGTGACCCTGTGGCTCCACTGGTTCCTGACCTTGCTTGACCTGTGTGATTGAGGAGGGGAGGAAGGTGGAGGGGTGGGGCACTCCAGGGACTGGGGAGGGGGTGTGGCACTGCTTCTGTCCCCTGCCCTGCCCACGGCAGCCCCTCACTGCAGCAGGGGCATCTTTAGAAACTGTGCACCCTCAAAGCTACGTCCTTCAGCACCCCAGGCTAGGTTGGGTTCAGAGAGGAGACGTCTGAGTTCCTTGGACTTCTAACTTCCTCAGGATCCTCCACTTCCCTTCTCTCCTCATTTCCCACTGTTTTTTTACAGTTATCTTTTGGAGTGGGTAGTTTCGTTTCCTTTACTCAGGTAGCAGAGAACGGAAGCTTGCTTTTTCCCCAAGCTTTTCCAGCAGGAAATATGGAGTCTTGATGATAAACAGCAAATTTGGAGAATATAATATCTTGGGAAGGAGGGGGTTGGAGGGTGCAATTCAGGGACTTTCCACACATTTGAAAGATTTATTTCTTGAACCTGACGGTGGATCTGCTGTAATTTTATTATTCTCTATACTTTCTGCATGTCTAAAATATTTCATGATAATTAGAAAGCAGGATGGTACAATCTGCTGGGAGATGCAGTGAGAGGAGGGGCTGGTGGCGGGGGGTGGGGGGTGGGGGCGGGGGCGGGGGCGGGGCTGTCACTCATTTATCCCAGCATTCAAGACATACTTGGCTCTGATGTGAGAAGTTCAAGCAAAATTGGAACTCAGCTGCACTGGCTTGAGGAATACTCAGCCATAAGCCCCGGTGAAACCGGCGCTGAGCCAGCTGGGAGTGGAGCTAAAACTTTGCAGGAATTTCTTCTCGATGGCTGGTGACAAACTACTGTTGACTTTATATATCTAATGAATATAAACAAGGGTTTATGAATTAGTAACTTAGGAAATTGATCGTGGAAGAGATTAATTTTGCAAAAATGCGTCTGTTTCTGAGGCCTCAGACTGGTTCAGTAGCTCTGATGTGCTGGGCCCTGGGTTGGGGAGGGGCTTTACGTAAACTGTGAAAGCTAAAAAAAATACTTATCCCTGTACAATATCATTCTTTTAAACTTGAGATTTTGTGAAGCCCAGTGAGATTTTAGAAAATGTGCAATCCATGGCATCATTATGTTTTGCTCCAAGTGGTTGCCTGCTTCCCAGTGGGATGCTTGGGGGCCCCAGGGGAAATCCCGCATTTGCAGGTTCAAGAGAAGCCAGTTTTCCCCACCGATTGTCTAAGGGTCCCGATGCTGGTGAGACAAAAATAAGACTCTGCTTCCCTCTGTTGTCATTCTCTGGGAACTACACTCATTCCAAAGCATGACGGAAGGCCGCAACATTTATGGATCACATGGAATGTGCGGTGCTCTAAACCTTACATGTTATTTTTTCCCATCTTCACAACATTGCAAAATCTCTATTATTCTTGTTTGAGATGGAGACTCCATCTGTTGCCCAGGCCGGAGTGCAGTGGTGCCTACCACAGCCACCTCCTGCCAAATACTCAGCTCACTGGAACCTCCACCTCCCAGGTTCAAGCGATTCTCCTGCCTCAGTCTCCTGAGTAGATGGGATTACAGGCGCACACCACCACTCCTGGCTAATGTTTGTATTTTTAGTAGAGACGGGGTTTCACCATGTTGACCAGGCTAGTCTAGAACTCCTGACCTCAAGTGATCAGCCTACCTTGGCCTCCCAAAGTGCTGGGATTATAGCTGTGAGTCACTGCACCTGATCTTCTGTTACTCTTGTTTTATGAACAAAGAAGCCACGGCTCAGAGAAGTTATACTCCAAGAGCGCACACCATTCGCGGTAATAATAAAACAATAGCTGACATGTGTTGAGTTTTAAAAATGTGTTAATCATTGTGAAAAGCACTTAGAGGCAGTATCTGATTGATGTTTTTTCAACAACTCAAATGAGGTAAGTTATTATCATTCTACCCATCAGAAAACACACTTCCTCACCTAGGTCTGTTTCACTCACAAGTACTGCAGACTAGGTTCCTTTTTAGTTTAGTTTCGCTTCTCTCTGCCCTCCACCGTATTTATTCTCTATGCCCTCCACCATATTTATTCCTTTTGTGGTTTGGCTAGGGCACCTCTTATGGGCATTCCTTAGGGAGTCTTTGTTCTGATGTGGTATAGTACAATATTTCTTCAAGTTCAAGGTCAAAGTCTTCCCCCTTAATCATAGATATGCTGTGACCTTCGAGAGCCTGGATCACAAACCCCTGATTCTCAGGACACACTGGTAGGAGGTGTATCCATTTGCTATGGCTGCCATAACAAAATACTACAAACTGGACGGCTTAACACAAGACTTTAAAAAGAAAAGAAAAGAAAAGAAAAGAAAAGAAAAAGAAAAAAAGCAATAGGCGAGGCACAGTTGCTCATGCCTGTAATCCCAGCATTTTGGAAGACCAAGGTGGGTAGATCACTTGGACTCAGGAGTCAGCCTGGGCAACATGTGGAAACCACATCTCTACTAAAAATACAAAAAATTAGCCAGGTGTGGTGGTGCACGCCTGTAATCCCAGCTACTCATGAGGCTGAGACAGGAGCTCCTGATCACTTGAGCCCTGGAGGCGGAGGTTGCAGTGAGCTGAGATTGCATCACTGCACTCCAGCCTGGGTGACAGAGTGAGACTCCATCTCATAAAACAAAAACAGAAACAAGAAAAACAAACAAACAAACAAGCCAGGTGTGGTGCCTCATACCTGTAATCCCAGCACTTTGGGAGGCCAAGACAGAAGGATTGCTTGAGGCTAGGAGTTCAAGACCAGCCTGGCAAACATGGAGAGACCCTGGCATATTGTAGGATGTCATTTCTTTGGGATGTTCAGAACAGGCAGATCTATAAAGAAGTTTAATAGCACTGTGTGCTTTTCCAAGTGCTTTGATATTGCACCATCCAAGGAAGGCTGTGTTGATGCCATCATTGGAAGGAAAAATGAAGTCTCAGAAAGGCTGAATACCCTGACCAGTGTTACATGCAGAGCAGGGATGAGCACCTAGGCCTCTGGCCCCATGTCACAATGCCCTGCAATTGCCCATACACCGTGCTGGGCACAGCCTGTACTCAGCACGGGCTTGTTGATTGATTGACGGTAGAAGACAGCCCTGATGCTGTGGCCAAGTTCTCTAAAAATAGAGCCAAGATGGGGATTTTGCTCCAGTGATTTATTGGGCTGCTTATGGGAAAAGAGAAGTGAAGGAACCATGTTTCCTTCCTCAGACAGGGAAGAAGCTCAGGGAGGGTGTGGTCTCCGCGGAAGTCTTCTTCAGCCTGGTGTCTGGTGGAATTTTCCAGCAAACGCTGTAGCACAGAGTCAGTCCCACCTTGAGGCGAGGGGGCTGGTCTGTCGTGTTCCAGGTCAGTCAGTGCGATGGGATGACTGTGTGTCCCCCAAATTTGTGTCTTAAAATCCCACCCCCAGTGTGATAGTATTTGGAGCCATGGGACCTTTGGGTGATAATTAGGGTTAGATGAGGTCGTGAGGGTGGGGCCCTCATATTGGGATTTGTGGATTTCTAAGAGGAGGAAGAAAGAGAGATCATTCTATCTCCACCAAAGGCAGGACACAGCAAGAAGGTGACCATCTGCAAGCCAGGAAGTGAGTCCTTACCAGGAATTGAAGCTGCTGGTACCTCAATCTTGGACTTCCCAGCCTCCAGAACTGTAAAAAAATAAATGTCTGTTGTTTAAGCCACCCAATCTGTGGCATTCTATTATGACAGCCTGAGCTGACTAATATAGTCAGTCACTGCTGTAGGCTGCTGGGGATGGAGGTGAGAAGGTAGAGTAACCTCCCAGGTGAGCAGGCTTCTGTGCAGTTGAGGGCAGTTATCTGGACATGGGGGTAACTGTGAGCCATTAACAGCCATCACACACAACACTCAGGGGATGGGTGCATTGGCCAGCATGGAGGGGAACTGGTCAGGGTCCAACAGCATCCAGGACACTCAAGTTTCCCTTGGTCTCCTGACTGTCTTCGTGGTTTCATTGCTGGGACTCCAGCCCCCTCCTCCTTGATCTTGGCCAGACAGATCAGAGAGGAGGGAGCACTAAAGGTTGTGTGGGGTCCTTCTGCCAGGCCAGAAGTGGCCTTGTGGTGTTTGTGGAATGGCCCCACCTCATTCAGACCCAAGAAGCATGGTCAGTATTAGGATTTTCCACTGACCACCAGCCCAGGACACTGCTGCTTGCCCTGAGTGTCATACGCTCTTTGGAAATCTCAGCATCTCTAGAGGTGAAAGGTTTTCTAACTTGCCTGGCTGCTGAAATTGAGCTCATACATCTGTTCTTAGTGTTTTGGCAGGTCAAGATGAGAATAAATCTGATCAGTTCTCCTCCTTTTAAAAACCCATCAATGGTTTCCCATTGTCTTTATAACAGACTAAATCTAATATGGCGGTCTCATTCTTTATTCACTGTCTCCTCCCCCTTTTAATCCCTGGTCCTCTGCAGACCGCCACACACTATAGGACATCTGTGTGTTCTGTTCTCTGTTTAGAATGTTTGCCATTGCCATCTTCTCTTTTACTAGCAATTAATTCTTCCTCTTGATCTCAGCTCATTTTCACCATCTAGTGAGCTTTCTCCGACTTCCCCCTTTTGTAGACATTCATGGTAACTTGAGCTTGGCCTTGTGAAAGGGGTGATTTTATGTTGAGTTTGATTAGTGTCGGCATCTCGTACAAGGCGTTAGCTCCATGAGGGCAAGACTGTGTCTTGCCACTCTATTCCCAGCACTTAGCAAGGCGGGCATCACGAAATATTTGTGGACTCAATGGCTGTATGTATGAATGAGAAACCCCTGGAGGATCCTGATAGATAGATACAAGGCTTTCACAGATGGTCCTCAGATCAGTGCCTCCTGAAGTCAGGAGCTGAAGGTGAGCAGATTGTCCAATTTATACCATTATTCTTATGGGAAGTGCAACACGCAGAAAATCTTAAGTACCAGGTCC